TTATCTTACTAGCTGTCTGGTCTCAGTTTCTCTCTCTAATGTGCCAGGAAGAAAATGTCTTTATCACTGAATATTTTGGTGATGCACAGATTCCAGGATGCCCTCCAGTGGTATGAGACATCTGTGTGTGTGTGTGTGTGTGTGTGCACACGCACACATGTATATATGTGTGTGTACATACACTCATTAGGAGTGGGAGATTAGGATACTTTTTGCTTCTATGTTCTCCTTATTTCGTGGGATATCTTTTAACATTCTCTCAGAATTTTGAACTCCTTTGGTTTTATTTGTGAGACAATTTAACATTCCACAGACAAAAGGAATGTGCTCTGGTATTTCACTCTTAACACTTAAGTCAATCCTATGTTTCTATAAGAACAATAACCTTATTTAATTGGATATCCTCAGTAGAAACTTTCTATATGTGTCTTAAATTTTAATAACTTCATAGCAACGGTAAGCAGCAGCAGAAGGCATGACGTTTGATATAATTGTAAGGTAGAGTTTGAGCAGTGAGACTAGGGGCCCGGGAAGAGGGCCAATTCAGTGAGACTAGAGGTGAGGCCAGGGATGCTCCACTAAAGCATTCTGTGGTCAGGGGGATGTCACTGAAGGATTATAAAGTGAGAGGTAATATCCAGGTCCAGGTTCATATCTTGGATGGTTCACTGAAGCAGGGGTTTGGAGGAAAGACCTGTCCACACCCGAGTGGATCTTCTCTCTCATCAAGCCAAGTAAGGTGTTTTACCCACCATCAAATGTTTCTTAGCAAGTTTGTCAAGAACTAGAATGTGGACTGTTATTTCTCTGGGTCCATGTATGGTTCTGGGCTCACCTTCATCAGAATTTCTCAGGGGATACTTGCTAAGGAGGCTATTTCCTAGACTCTATTTCGTACTTGCTGAATTAACATCCTTGTGGATTGTTAATATTTTATCCTGACTTTGTTCAACCTGCTCCCTTTATCCTGAACACTCTTGATTTGTCCTTTGCTGTCTCAGTCATTTTTTCAAAATCCAGCTAAATCATCCCTTCAATCCCGAGTCCGGACAGAATTGACCACTTTCTCCATTGTGCTCCTACTATTCCATTTATTTATTTATTTATTTATTTATTTATTTATTTATTTATTTAAAGATTTTATTTATTTGTGTGTGTGTGGGAGAGAGAGCACAAGCAGGGCAAGCCGCAGGCAGAGGGAGAAGCAGGCTCCCACTGAGCAGGGAGCCCGATGCGGGACTCGATCCCGGGACCCTGGGATCATGACGGGAGCCGAAGGCAGATGCTTAATCGACTGAGCCACCCAGGAGCCCTCCCTTTAATTATTTCTACACAGAATATCATGGCACATTAAGACACTTCTTTGTTTGTATTTGTATTCTTCCCACTCAATCTTTAGAGAACAGTGATTATGACATATGTGTCTCTGTTTCCTCTCTGCCTACCATAGAAGTTTAGGGTTTTCATAAACATTGTTGGATAAATATACAAATACATGTAAGTTTCTTAAGTGTATCTACATTTCTAATTTTTCTGTAGCCATTTGTGTCTCAGTGTTTTTTGAATGCTTGTTTTGTGCCTAAGTCTGTGCTTACTGCCAGTGGAAGGTCATAGGTTTCTAGTTGGGGTAATATAGCACATCTAGATGAAACTCATGTGTTGTGGTCGAGGTGTGATGCTGTGGGAGAGATTGGCATTGGTTAGTACCTCAGACAGCTAGGTGAAGAATTTGGGATTTGGAATGGGCCTTGAGGGTCCAGTGAAGTTTAGAAAGATGAGGAGAGGCCATGTCATTCACGGTCAGTTGTTCAAGTAGACAAGTATATGGAGGACGCCAAGTTCACAATAAGAATTGAGGATGGAAGAAAAAGTGAATTGAAAAGAGTGGCAATCTAGAAGTATAGAAGAATAGATAGATAATTCTTGGAGGAAAATAAATGAAACCCCTGACAACATCTAAGAAAAGAATTTTTTTATACAAAATGGAAAAAACAGGATGTAAGCTGTGGGAACCACAAAAAGCAAATGAAAATAGTCAAAATCATGAATTTGTCTACACTACCCGAGAGCATCTTGTCTAAAGAAGGAAGCTATGCATGATGTGACATATGTGCACAACGAATGAGGCCACGTTGCTCATTTCAACTTTTCCTATGCTTCACTGTGACTTAAAAATGAATCTGGGACCTACCTCCCTGTCCCACGCCGGACATGTGAGGACTGTCTTTCACGTTGTACCAGAGTTTCCAGTGTCAGGAGCTTCTCCAGCAGAGCAACTCTGGAGGAGACATGTCTTTGTGATGGGCAGGTGGCTGAGTCCATCTTGTAATGTGAAGGATCTCATTGGTGACACCGGAAGCTATTCAAAAGGTAGAGAAGTGTGCCTAATGGAGGTCCCACTCACAAATCATCAGACATGGTGGAACTCTTGTTCCACCTGAGTTTCCTGACGCATATGCTACTTCTATTATTTGTATATAAATTTCTCTACTTGTGAGTAGCATTCTGTTTGGCTTCTGCTGATGAAAACTCTGACGCCAAGGATAAGGTATATGATTTTTCCCTTGGCAGACTCATCTGTAGCTTTGGTCTCTCCAGGCTTGTAACAAGAGAGCCATCCTATATATGAAGCAGTCTGGGACTTTCTGCTTAAGTACTTCCAAAGAGGAAACATGAAATCCATATATAGCAAAGGGCCAGACGGATTGTGCCAGGAAGCAAACACTGAGGCAGGTGTGCTTGGCTAGTCAATGCCCAAAATCCAGAGAAAGTTGAAGTGTGTATGACTAAGATATCACAACAAAAATGACATATATAAGCTTTGAGAAAGCAGCATTGTGCCAACAGGGCTTACGGTTGGTGAATTATGGGGCCAGATAAATGTGAGCTCAATCATCAGGACAACTTGGGAAATTTCTGCCTCGTGAGAGTTCCCAAAGATTCATTTAGATTTCATTTCTCTGTGATGTGTGGCTCCATAAATTCTGGGCAAAGGCGGAAGGAGAAAGACTTGCACCTGTGGTCCAGGAGTTTTTGCCCACCTTGAGGGGCATTGATTCTGCCAGTTATAACTTGGAAGCTGTCATATGTTTTCAGAAGAGGAAGGTGATTCTTGCAGAGTGGCCATGTACAGATTTGGAAGAATGGGGGTTTAACCTGACACGGTGCCATTTAGAGGGGGGACGTCCTCAGATGACCTTAGTTAATATTCATTCTTCTCTAAGACGGATTTAGCTGACAAACTACATGAGTTACTGCATCTTTTTATTTGTGTGAAGTAGAGGCTGGAAATTTATGGAATAGGAAGTGATAAATCAGAGAGATGGGAATGAATAAGAAATGGCTCTCTTAAACTTTTGTATTTGTTGATGCACCAGCAAAAAATAAACAGCCTGGAAAAGTGAAGACAGTAAAATACTTTTGAGTTCCTTCTAGAAATGCATGATATAAATGGGATGCATTATATTCATTTATGCTCCTAGAAGGCACAATTTTTTTCTGAGTGCTCAAAAGAAAGAATGATTTGATACATGGGGGAAAAGTGCTAAAAGAAACTTTTAAAATATTTGCCACTGGAACATCATTTCAAACCTGTCAGAAATGTGGGCAGGAAATAGAACACTTCTGCCTTGACAATGTTTTGGGGAAAATGGGCCAACTAAACATCATTTGAAGGGAGTAAGGAGGAAAATGCTCAGAAACACAATTTTATTTCCTTTTACAAATTCTTCCTCCAGAGTTTTTAGTCACTCACAAAACAGATGTCATTTTTGAAAATGCAGAATTGCAAAACACAAAAAAATCAACATCCTTCAAGAATACTGTTGTGCTTTCTTCTTATTTGCTGGTAGAAAACATGTGTGTCTTGAATACCAATTATCTTTTCAGTTCAGTATTTTCTTCAGAGAACAAAAACTTTCTGGTACAGCTGCAGAAGCACAAACAAAATGGTATCACAGAAGAGCAACTAGCACCTTGGAACCAGCTGTTTATGCTATTTTGTCATCTTCTCTTTAACCCTCTGAGTCCTGAATGAGAGTGGGGAGCATTCTGGAATATGATTAACTCTGTGTGTATTTGTGCATGTGTCTGATGCGCTCTCAGCTTGCACTGGAGGACTGTTAGAAGACAGACAGGCCTACATTCTAGTCCCAGCATTGCCATGTATTAATCTTGTGACTTTGGGGAATTGATTTAACTTTTCCAGGTTTCATTTTCTCATCTGCAAAATGGCTATGATAATATTTGCCTCATAGTATTGTTATGAGAAGTTAGACAATGCATATTAAAATACCTAGCACAGCATGTAGCACATAATAGGTGCTTGATACATGTTAGTTATTATGAGATTGTGACCTATTTGAAGTCAAAGTCTTGTTTTTGAGCCCTGCTCTACTATTATGGTGAAAGGCACACAGAATATTTGCTATTCAAGTGACGGTTCCTCTGTAGCACTGCATAAATATCTGAGGTTCTGTGTATAGGCACTTTCACCTGTGCTGTGATAATTCTTCCAGAAACCTGTATAATTGTATCATTATTGCCATTTTTCTAGATAAGAAACTAACATGCAGAAAGGCTCAGGAGGCTGCTCAAGTTCAAGGCAATTACTAGTATGCTTGATTCAAATTCAAATTTTTAAGTCAAGCATTGTTTCCAGTGAGACTTCCTAAAACAAAACAGAGGGAAACAAAAAAACCCAACAACTACACAAAACCAAACCAATAGGGGTGAGAATATATTGTGTATCACAGTATGTGCCCAGTGGAGAAGTCAGTCTGCAAAAGCCAGCGAAAGCAGGCAGCCTCTGGGCTCTGATTCAGTCAGGCAGCCTCAGAGGTGCGAGTGTTCAAATGGGAGATTTACTATGTTCTGGAGGTGTGGAGCCAGAGCCTGCTTCCAATTGAAATTATAATTTCATCTTTCTAATCCACAGAAAGTACATTAGCTATAATTTGTTACTTTGAGCCATACTCATCCACACCTTTGGTGTTTTGCAGGCTCCCACTGACTTTTGGAAAAGGAAATTTAAAGGCATCTACAGAACATGTGCGGCACCTTGACCAACACCTGGCCAGGAATGGCAAACTTTCCTAAGAAAAGCAACTTTTATAGAAAAGGCTCGATTCCATACCCTTTAGCTTTCTGTAGAGGAGGTAAAAGAGTTTTATTTTTTAAATGAAGTAAAAAGTAAGATATTGTGGTTTCTTTAGTGTGAATGGGATTGATTCAAAAAAACATACTTTTTTTTTTCACAGACTCCCTTGAAACAAAATCAAAGAGGATACAGGGGCAAAGGAAAAACAACCTATCCATCTCCCCAAAGGAGGAAGGTATTCATACTAGATGGTGAGTCCAGGGGCAAGGACAACATGCTATTTCTCTTACTGTCTATCTTCTCAGTAGACATTTCTTTTTCACAAAGTCAGGGCAGTGTAATCTGGAATTAAAATCCCCGATACCTTCTGCATGAAGTTTGGAAGTGGATGCTCGGGTCCTTGGAGTTGCCTGGGATGTGGCTGCTGGGGCTGCATCTCTAATAGATGCAGTGACTTTGAGGAAGAAGAGGCTGGGCTACCCAGGGACAGTGCCTGCCAGCATGACTCATGAGGAAGGGCAGGGCCCAGTTGAAGAAAAGTAACACTGAAAGACCTTCTGGGTAGAAATCACAGTGTTTTGCTTGAACGCCTCTTGCTGCTGGATGACACCAGCCTCTCTTGTACATGTTGCCTGTGTCGTTTCTCCCCAATGAAAGCCCCAAGTGACTGCAGTGGCTTTCCATTTTGCTTCAACTGAAATGTACAAAAGGGCTTGCTATTTGCTACTGGTGACTTTGGAGGGAAGCAGATAGTTTAATTTCTCTAGTCTGTGTGTCTTTCTGCTTGATGCCCTTGAGGTCAATCCATGTTTTCCTGGAGTGATGGTGGGGAGCAAGATTGGCTGGTATCAAACCCCACTCTGTCTTTAACTTTTGGAATATTTTCCTAGATTATAATTGGTGTTGGGGAAAAAAAGACCCTCTGCAGATTTTACCAGTGATCTATTAGGCCTCATATGATTGGGGAAGGGAGTGGAGATGGAGTCCTGGTCCCATGACTTGGAACTGATGGCGGTATTCTTGTCACAAGTGAGATTGGAAAAGGAAGAGGTGCTTACTCATCCCTTCTACTCTGTTGACATAAAGTCACCACTCCTCAATGTTAAGGCTACTCTTTATTCTGGAGTGGTTTTGGCTCACCAGTGGATGGTGAACTTTTGCCATGATGAGCCATGAAAACTACTCTTGAAGATTAAGGGAATATAAATAATAATTCGTATGTCCATTAGGGTGACGGAACAACCTGGTTTGCTTGGGGTTGAGGGTTTTCTTGGGATATGAGGTTTTCCATTTTAAAACCACAATAACACCAGAGGCACCTGGGAGCCTCAGTCGGTTGAGGTTTCGACTCTTGATTTTGGCTCAGGTCATGATCTCAGGGTTGTGAGACTGAGCCCCATGTGGGGCTCCACGCTCAGTGTGGAGTCTGCTTGAGATGCCCTCTCTCCCTCTCCCTCCACCCCTCCCCACATTCACACACACACACACTCTCTCTCAAGTAAATAAACAAAATCTTTTAAAACACAAACCACAATAATACCAGAAAAATATCCTATCACGGGAGGATAGCAGAGTGTAGAGAGCGGAACTGAGAAGCAGAAGCCCTGATATTAAGATCGGGCTGTTTAACTGACCAGCTGTGTGGCCCTGAGCGACCTTTCTCCAGGGCAGTTTCTTCAGCCGCAGAATGAAAGTTCTGGCTGGATGGTCCACGGGGTTCCTTCCTGCTTCCATGGCCCATGATTTCAAGACTGTTGACAGTGACTGGCATGGAAGCAAAATAATAAAAGAGATCCTATAATGTCTTTAAAAGGTTGTATTTCCGCTTGCCCAGCCTAGAAACATGGAAATGCCTCCATCTCTGTTGCAAGCAGCCGGGGCTTGTGCATCTCTCCGCAGTCTCCTAGAGTTCAAAGAAAGGACGCATCCTCTGGACTCCGTGCACCCAGCCCTGTTTGTTGGAACTCTCTTGTGCACTTGGCCCTCCCTCCCACTGTCACGACCTTGGTTCAGCCTGCCATCACCTCCCGCTTGGACCTACTTGGCTTCTGCTTTCATGTTTCCTAAAATAAAAGAACTACATTATTTATATATTCTGTGGTTTAAACTTCATTCATTCCATTAGGCTTTCTCCACAAGTCCTAATTTGACCTACTGAGGCTTTACCATGCCTAACTATAAATCAAAAATTATAGGTACATGCTGAATTTGGGCAAATCTTCTCTTTGTGGTAGAAAAAATAACATACTTCTTGATCACAGTCTTATTTATACTTCTATCGTCGGCCCTAATTTGTAAATTTAAACTAACCCCTTTGCCATTATTGCAAACATAAGTGCCGTGAAGTCCTACTTGTTTTAAAATTTTCAATTTGAACTTACATTTTTTCTATTTTAAGGTAGCTTATACAAGGAAATAATATAGAACAGGACCATTAAGTATAAGATTAGAACGGAGACCATCTACAGCAACAAAGAAGATGTCACTTGGCATTTCAAATATGATTAGAATTATTAATAACAGCTAATAATAGAAGTTGACTGTAATGGAGTGCTTACGATGCCCAGTAGTGGCACTTTCCATGAATTATGTCATTGTTTCCTAACAGGGCACACAGAGAAACACTTGAGGCACATAACTCTCATTGATTGTCTGATCAAAGAAAAACACATACATTGATTTGTAGAAAGAAACATTTTCCTGAGCTAAATTAAAGGGATGGTTTTATTATGTTGTACTTTTCTGAAGCACTTTGATAACGTGCAGAAAACTTTTTTTCAATTATGGTTTTGCAAAAGCCATCAACACTTTTTCAAAAGAGTGCTTCTTGTTTTGACCTATAAAAGCTTAAGTAGTGACATAAAATTGTAACTTAGAAGAATATTGAATTCATCACGAAGGGCTGAGTAATTTTCTTTTCTGATAACCTGCGTTCATATAGGGATCGAGTTTAGGGAACACCGAGTGGAGAATTGGCCTGCCCATTTGAACATTCTCTTTAATATCAGATGTCTTGGGTAAACCATTGTGAGTTTCTAGCTTACAGTTAGATCATGATCAATTTCTTTAAATATAAAGCAGGTGTTCTGTGTTTCTATGGTTAACCTAGGGCCATATCTTTTATGCACCAAATGTGTTGGTAGCAAAGTGGATATTCTCATTTGGTTAAAAACCTGGTTCTTACTTTCTCCTAGGCAAAAGGCCTATCCACTTGGACATGGGCAGGGACTCCAACGCTACCTGAAATATAGATAGTGGTTTTCTCAAAGAGGAGCTTTTAAATCTTCTCAAGCACTTGCACCATCAGTTGGCAGAGGTCCTGGGTTCTGAACAATATACATGAAGGAACTCGTTTTAGCATGAAACAATTTTAAAGGCATTTGTTACCAACAGACGGTCTTGTCTGAGAAGGAACTACATCCTGATAAACTAGACAGAATGAAATTAATTGTAAAAGGCATTCCCTTATAGTTGAAAGAATTGATGCATTACTTAAAATTGGTGGAGTTAATTGAAATGTAATTAACGTTGGGAAATGCCTTTCAATTCAGTGAGTTTGCTTGATGTTTGATAGTGATTTGCATTTCCTGAAAGTAACTAGGAAGTGAATTGATTTTACATGATAATTAAAACATATCACCAGAATTTTTTAAAAAAGAAGTATATTCTCCTGTAGTGTATGTGTGTGACAGGGGAGGGGGAGGCCATATATTGGGTGTATCTGTTAGCTAGAGCAAGTTGTTTGATGTAAATCAATAAGACAAGGAAGGAATTAGGACATAACCTTGGTTAACATCATTTACATGGACATTTACATGTACTGTGAAAATATTTTTGTTGATTCTGATTTTAGCTTTAATATCAAGATACAGTAGAATCTAATATCATGACTATCTCAGATTTTGTATCCATTGGCATTATTGTTCACAATAACAATAACAATTAATTCTGAATAGTAGTTATAATGTTCCAGGTACCATGTTAAGGGATTTGCACATATGAATTTATTTGATCTAATGTACCCTAAACCTGGGAGCTCTGTATTTTATTATTATCCTCATTTTACAGATGGAAACTGAAGAACAGAGATAATAACACAGCTAGTAACCGAAGAATCCTGGATTCAAACCAGGGCACTCTGACTTCTGAATCTCTGTTCATAACCACTAGATAATATTGCTGCAGTCATAGATGGTGAATTTCATAAATGGTCTTAAATTGCTTTCATCTGATATTTCATGGAGATAAAGCACTCTATAAAATTGATCACGGTGAGAAAATTATGGCTAAAATTCTCTAACTCCTCATAAAGTCATTCCCTTTGGAAAAAAAAAATGTGGTCCTAAAGTTTGTTTAGAATCAATCTGTCATGTTATTTGAAAAGAGTGTTTAGTAGCCCAATAAGCCTATTGTTTGGAACAGAGAAAGCATTTTTCTTTTGGAAAACAAGGCAAACTCGATTTCATACTCTTCCTAAGGGGATTATGCCCCCGGAGCTAATTAGAGTACATAATTTTTTAAAAATTGGGCTTACTTGAGATAAATTCTTAAGAGATTCCTTGATATGAGACCTTCTCCTGGGGTCATCTTTTCTAATAGTTAAGTGATTGATCAGATATTTTAGAGTAGATGGAGTTCCAGGCTCCCAGCTGGGCCAATTCCTGGAACCTACAAAATGCAGAGACCATGATGGCTGAGTGAAGTGACTTGTCCAGTCATCGACAGAGACAGGCATTTCCATACTCCTTTCACAAAAGTCACGCAGTGTCTCAGAACCTGCACTTAATTGCTCCTTACAGCTGAGCCCAAAACCTCCCACTGGGGTCTATTGTAATTATTGCACTCTAGGACTTTTTTTTTTTTTTTTAACTGAAAGAATTTGTTGGTTAAAGGATCTTTTGGCTATACCAAATAGAATCTACATTTGCTAGGTTTTAGACAATCAATAGTTATTAAACCAAGACACACATTGGCAAACTCTCTTCCCCTCTTCCAAGTAATGGTATAATAAAGCTGATTTAAGCCTCTCTATGATGGAGATTATATATAGAGAAGAAACTTCTCCCAAAAGACAGGATGAGTTAAGTACTATCAAATCAAGTAGAGTAGATTAATTAAAGAGTGGAAAATTCTCACTTGACTCAGCCTTCATATTTTTGTAATAAATAATAAGATAATTTAAAATGAAAATTATTAAAAATGTATTATACCATCAATAATTTCATTATCAAAAGCACATTCTCTCCTGTCTGCCCTCAACTCCCAGATGATCAAACATGTTTGCAAGTTGCTGGAGACCAGTAAAGGCATTCCAATAGTCCAAGGAGGTCAGAGTGATATTTTTGAAACAGAGTTGTCTCAGGTGTTGGGAGCCAGAGACTATGGTATAGTGCCATAAGGAAGCTGAATGTTTCCTTCCATTATTTTCTTGGAACAAAATTCATTCATTATTATTTCAACAATATATATTGAGTCCCTACTGTGTTTGCTAGGCACTTGATTTAAGATTGTCTGTTTCAAAAGAGCCATGGGTAGAAGCAATTAACAGATAATAGTGATAATTAAGAATGTAAATTATTAGATCATCTTTATGATGTCAACAATTGATTTACATAATGCACTTTCTTTCCTGTCTGTGTTCAGTCAAAAAGAGAATAAAACGTATTTGGCTACTATGTGTTTTGTTTTGTTTTTTTAAATAATTCTCAGCATATTTACCAATGGGAAAATCCAAGACATTAAAACTTTGTGACACAGTTTTTAAAATTCGTAACTGAAGACAATGAAAGATCATACCTGACAAGTTCATAGATGTCATTATATTCTCTATTGTGGAAGTACCCAGATAAATACACAAATCTGGCTTTTTTCCCTATTTTGTCAAGATGATCTTTTGACACATTTCCAAAGTTCTCTCAGACCTTTATAAAATAGGTAGTATTTTTGGAATGCCTCACAGAAAGATTATAGTATATAAAATATCTTATTGTTTTTGCATTTATTCAATAAAAATGTACTGTGCGTTCCTTTTATATTAGCATTGTTTTAGGCAGAGAGCATAACGTGATAAAAAGATACATTCTGCTTTTCAAGGGATTCATAATTCATCTAGGCACAATCAAGTTGAGAGTCAGACGTGAAAATGAGCGTGGTCTGCAGTGATGAAGTGCTATAATAATAGAATAAATAGTGACATGTCACAGAATCACAGAGGAAGAAAGCATCTACATTTGAAATTATTGATATGGTATAGAAAACAACCCTCACTTTTCTGATTAAGTAGCCCAAACATTTGGGATAAATTATTTGTGCCATAGCACAAGGCAGTTTCATTTTTATTAATTCTGGACTTTTGAATTTATAATCATAAAATTTTACTTAGAGTAAGAAAAATAAAAGCATGAAGCGATCTGCTATTGGCTTTTCTATTTTGGTCTCTGACATCAAGGACTTTGGGAGGAGAATGTGTGAATGTGTAATGCGGTGTCCATGTATTATGCTTTTCAATTTTTGAAATCAAAGTACTCAATCAGCATTAATTAGGAGATATTGTGCTGTAATTTCCAAGTGCATGTACAATGGGTAGTCTTCTAAATTGTGTGCAATTTTCCTTTTCTTTCGAATTTCCACATGGAGCTTTCCCTATTATATATTAAATTGAGAGGCAGTTAGTTTCACATGCTGGGCATCCAAACATTAGGTTTTTTATATTTCTATGTGTCATGTGCAAAGTATGCCTCCTCCCGAAAAACTTGATCCTTGTTGTTCTCCCCACAGCACAGACTTTATGGGCCTCTGGTAACAAACTTGGAACTGTTCCTTTTGGTTTTATAAATCATGTCTAAGGGATTCTAAACCACATTTAATTACACATGACAGAAAAGCTTCATGAGCTAATGTTCTTCTGGTTGACCCACCATGAATTCCTGCTAAAATTTTCATAAGCCTTGGAGACTATTCTCCAGAGTGTCCCCCAGAGCATTTCCTGGACACCGATGATGCAAGAGTTTACCATCCCATTGATGGCTGTCCCAGGGCACCCCAGGATGAATACTCCCATTCCCTGAAAGCTGCTCATGGACCAGGAGCCTACTATCAATGGCTGAAATGTGATGCAGCTTCCCCTGCAACTTCCTCCAACTCAGCCTAATGGAGATTAAGATCCATTAAGAGCTCTTTGCTGCATGTGCAATTTCTATTGATCAGATTGACTCATTTCATTTTAGCCAATGATCCTATTACAAAAGCTGCCTTCTTCCAACGTTTTACCGGCACAGGGAAACCTGCAAATGCTCTCTACTGTAACAGGCGGTGCAGAGAAGGGCACTGGCTTGAGTCGTGTTTTCCAGTCCCCGCTGAACATCCTCTGCAGCATCTAAATTCTTACATGTTTGGGGGAGTTATTATCATTCATCCTCTTACTTAGGATTGGTTTAGAGGCTAGAAGCCTATGTGATTCATTTATAACTAAGCACTTGATTGTGAAACTATGTCAGCCACAATATAGATGGAGACAAAGTTCAGTATGAGCAACACTGTGGCTTGAAAATGAGGTTTCCCTGAATTGGAAACATGTGAGGAAAGCAGCTAGAGAGAGAGGAAATGTTTGCTTATAATGACACACTGTATTAAATTAATAGTCATCTTTGTTTGTAAGAGGAGGTGTTAAGCTCCTGGCAGGCCTTATTGTTTTAGTGGTCAATGCTAAGAGGAATCACAGATTTTTACAAGTTGTAAGAAATGGACCTTCTAGGAAGAGTTTATGGGAAAAGATGAATGGAAGGACACACAGGAGTGCGGCCACCCTGAGTGGAGTCCCTCTTTGTCTGATTACATGAATATACTGTGTGGTAATAATAATGGCTTGCATATAAAATCCCTTCCTACTGTCCAAATATTTTCACATAGATGAGTAATAAATTCAACTGTCATTTATTGAGCCCCTATCATGCATTATACCTTGAACATATATTGTGACATTTAATCACTTTAAGAACCCTCTAAACTTTAAATTACCACCAGTTCCGTTTTTTAGATGAGGAGTTAAAAACACAGGGAAGTCAAAAGACTTGCCCAAGGTCTTGACCTGGAAGTGTCGCAGCCTGGTTTGGAACTCAGTCTAAGTCTGTTTCCAAGGGCAGATTTTGTTTTGTTTTTAAACCACCCCACACTTTAACTGTCTGGATGCTCTCAACGGTTTTGCTCAGTGGGTAAACTATTGTTATTAACTCGAAATCTCAGCAGAGATAAGCCAACTATCCTAAGTGTTACAAGTGGATGATAGTAGGGTCAGAATTAGAAACTGGCCGGACATAACCATATTACTTTCTCATGCAATTTTACAATCACATCTAGATACAGTTATGGAATATTTAGGTATCTTTTCATGCTAGTCAATAACTACGGAAGTAAATTTATGTAGTTGAAATTCATTATCAGTGCCTGGAACTCTAGTTTTAATTCTTTTACTTTTATCTCT